TGTAATAATATTATTTAGTAAATTCACCAAATATTTGTTTTTAGTGTACACGGGAACGTACACTGAAAAAAAAATGTGTGTTAAAATTAACTCAATGTCATTTCGTCACTTGGTTGCAAGAAATAAGATCATCTGGATCCAGAAACATTTTATAAGCAGGCTACCACTCCAAAAAATTATTTGGCTCCAGATGCTTTTATTTTGTGCAACTACTAGATGAAATTAAATTGAGTAAATTCACCACCATTTTTTTTTTTCAGTGCACAACTTGATCAAAATCTCTTGCTGTTGTCACTCCGCCACCACCTCTATCAGTGGATGGTGGCACAGCGCACACTCTTTTGCAACAACGGCACATACCCACTGAATGGATCCGTTGGTCGACAGCACAGCTGTGCTGGATGCAGTGTGAAAAGGCCTCAATCTGCTCACTCTTTTTTCCTCCATTTCCTGTCTCGTCGACATTTGCGTGACACCCCATTGTGCGCGTGCATGCGTGTGCACAGAAAAGGTGTACAGTGCATGTGGCTTTGATGGTGGCTTCCATACCCTTGAAGTCCCTGACGCTCTTTACTCTAATTACCCAGATTGGGTTTGCTGGGAAAGGAAGCGTGAGTACCAAAGGGTCCTTGATTCTGTCCTTGTTCAAGCCTCTGGGAGCAACTTGGAAAGTTATTCATACATCCATCACTTTTCCACATTTCACAATTTAATCAATCCCCTAATGAAAAAGTGACACAGGCAGAAGATAGAAAGCCCTCACACGCCAACCCTGAAAAGCCACAGCAAAAGGGTGCGGCCAATCTTTGTCTGACACGACAATTGCTGGCTTATTTAGATTTTTTTTTTTTTGTTTTTTTTTTTTTTTTGTGACGAGGAGAAGGGAGAGGCATTACATTGTTACCTCCGGGTAGAATAGCACCTCTCATTTGGCAGAAGCGTGCACTATTAAAGTCCAGACGTCTTTCTTGCAGCAATAACAGGAAAAGTCATTGACTGCTTAACTTCAACGTCTCGATATTATTCTGACGAATGCGAAAGATGGTCTTTTAATATAGTCCCATGCATCACCTCGAGCTATTATTCGACTGACACAAAGGCACATTGAGCGCAACTCTCTTATCGAACCGACTCGATAAAACGGAAAACATCTTTATTATTCTCTATTTTGTTTCCATTTTAAATGTCGAATCGCATTGTTCCGAATAAGGCATAGCACTGAGATAATTAAAATCCTTGTCTGCGGTCACCATTTGTTCATCTGTGTTAGCTCAGGCACTGAAGGAACTACATAATGGCGGAGACATTGAATTTGGATTTTTTGGCTATATAACAGCACATGCAGCCACAGTCTGTCCTTCACGAAAAGCAATAAATGGGACGGGTGGGCCAAAAAACGATTTAAATCGCATCGAATCCAACTGCATTCATTCGTTCCAGTTAGAAATATATCCATATGTACAGAATCATCTTTTAAGGCCGTGTCTAACGGAGCGGCGAAAGCTAGCGAGTGTTCGTGAACATAGCCGATGTTATTTTCTCAGGGTTCATTCAAGTTTGCAAAGACATTATAAGCTTATCTTACCGATAACATCAAAACTCTTGTAATACTCACAGTTATACTCCAACTCATTGCATACGCTGTGCTCGATACAGCACCTCCTCTTCTCTATACCTCTCCAAACTATTTTGGGATATTTGTTCTTGAAGTGATTGATGCTTTGACATTGTTGAATTTCCCCATTTAGACTGTTCCATATTGGCATGCCCACACAAGCTTTTCCTTGTTGTTCTTGAGGATTTTGTTTGGAGGTTTAGCTTCTCCTTGAAATTTTAGCCTCCCTCTCATTCAAACTACAGTTTCGGCACATTACCTGCAGGAAATTATGTATTGCTTTGTCAATTAATTGCTTGACTTGCTTTGACAGATATTATTTGAATGCAATAGCATGCAGAGGAAGAGTACATGCAGAGGGTGACTCAAAGATTTTAATACAAAATAAGATGAATTGTATTGGACTGTGTATGCTAATTGGGGGGGGGGGGGTAATTAATTGTAGTTGTTCCGAACGGATGAAAAATATGGCCATGGAAAATAATCAAGGCACTTATTTTGTTTTCCTCCCATTAGTAAGGATGACTTCCTCCAAATGTTTTTGCACAAATCTGTTTTTCACATGTTTTACTTGCAGTGTGTTAAATATATTTGTTCTGTTCCTGATTTATTTCACCCATGGCAGATTGATTTTTTTTTTTTTTACAGGGGTCTCTTCTCCACATTTTTTTTTGTTATTTGGATTTATGAATTTGCCATGTATTGTTGTGGAAGAAAAAAAATGGAAAACAATGAACGCACTTTATTGCAGCTGGCGGTGGAGAGTGGTACACAAAACACTTTTACACACACATTAAAAATGTATTTGAATACCAAATGCAAGATAGAATGGAGAGAAACTGCAGTATGAATAGAAAGTTGAAGTTAAAATGACACCTGATAGCCAAGCATGCATGTGAACAGCTTTGGAACAGATGCAACAATGGTGGAGGAGAGGTCAGAATTTTATGCATGTGTGCATTGGAGGTTCTATGCAGAGAAGTTCACTGTAAGTCCTCGATCTTGTTTAAACGTAGCCTTATATGCATCCATGTGATCACGTGAACACGAATGGCCTAGACTAACACCTCGCAGCATGTGCGACACCAACTCCAAACAGGACTGCTTGAAAACAAGAGTAAAATCAAAAGGAACAGGAACCCCTAATGGAATTTATGAGCACTATCACTTCCTATCTGGGGAGGATTTATTCGGCACTGCCAAAGCTAACGGACTGAAGTAATTTCATTTTTCATGCATGCTGTCTGTCCTCACAGAGAGCCGAAGCAAAGCAAGTGAAAGTGATGGGAGAGCGCAGCATAGGGGAGAGATCAGAAGAAATGGGCGGAGGACCACTGAGCCAGAGTAACGACTTGGAAAGGAGGGCGGGGGAGAGAAGTGTCGAGACAAGGCACGGGGAGGAGAAACAGGGCTTGAGCCGGAAGGATTTCAACATATGGGAATGTGATAATTGCTTTTATCTTCAAATGGGACCCAGTAGGAAGCTGGAGCTGCCACGCTGGCCTGTCCTTTTGTCTGTTGTGAAGTGAATTACCCTTGCGGATGAATTGAGGATCTGTCGAGCAATCACTCATCCACCATAATTAAGGTGGGTGCCCATTTTAGGGTTGAACTGCAACTAGCCTGTTGTTTGTTCATTCTCAAGGCTGCAGAAATCCTCCCAAGAAAACACCCCATGCACACCCGCACAATTAGCAGTGACAGGATATTGTGACACCTCCTTATCATCTTCTTCTGGCTGGAGCTGATGCTTCACCTCTGTTGGATCAGACACACAACTCGTCTTCCTGTTGAGGCTGACGATGAGAAGGTGATAGGCAGTATCTGTGATGTGACAGCTATTTTTTTTTTTTTTTGCACCAGAGCGCCGAGGCAGGATGACACCTGTCTTGTATGGAACAGCCTTCCCATGGCCTTATTAGTTGCTCGGGCCCCTTTTGGGCAGCAGCACGTCGTTCCTGCTGTGTCAGACGAGAGGCTAAATTGGTTCCTCAAGTGATGAAAGACAAAGTCAACTTCAACCTCTCCACTGAAGTGCGAGTGATTGATTTGGGGGGAAAAAAAGATTCAGCGGCATTCTGTACTCATGTGATCGCAAACCCGCTGCACTTGTCGATGTGTAACAATCTTCCTAATTACTCTGCGATGCTACACTCTATAATAGCATGTTGTCTCATCATGTTCACACCTGGTGTTTACCATCCACGTTTCAACATTCTCACACAAGAATGTGGAGTATATGCTCACGAGCACTGGACGATTATGCAAAAAATAAATAATACTGTAATCATAATCACAATTATTTTGATTGAGATTGACATCTCGATTATGAAAACGATTATTCATTGATTTCAAAACTTAGCCTTGATTCAGCTGCTAAAACTCAACTACTCCAAGCTGTGATCATAGCCTCATGCGCATTCATCCTTGCACCTTGAACACTTTATTTTTGAACACGGTATTCATTTTGTCAAGTACAAAATGACCTTGTAAATATCAGGCGGAATTCAAGCCTCTGGCATTTTCATGCTATTACGTCCACACGTTTGATGCCTTGCATCTGTGCATGCATCGAAGAAGCATTACCCTTGAATCTTTCAACACGTTTCAAACTACTTCACCAAAACGCGTTCAAACCACTTTACCCAATACGTTCAAACGACTCTGCAGTACGTTCAAACGACATAGACCAGTGCAAAATGTTTGCTCCACATTGGCAGGTCCACACTTGCATAGTTTTCCATTTCCCTGTCTGATTATTATTTTTGCTCACGACCTGTTTACATTCCCAGCATGGTATCAGGTAGTCTGTGACGATTAAATTATACAGTAAATCTCTGATGATTTTTTTTTCTTTCTCTTCAAAACATTGAATTAATTTTTGAGCTGCCAACAGGCCGATCCCTGCAGCAGCCCTAATGGAGTCCTTGAGCGTGCGATAACTTGAAATGCCAGTTGGTGATAAATGTGTGTGCACGTCAACATAACAGTGCGCGCCCTCTGTGTCGTTTTTTTTTTTTTTTTTTTTTTTCCGCGAGCACTTCCTGTGAAAAAATTGCAATATCGGCTTGCCAAGATCACAGTGCAAGGACAGAATGATTAAACTTAGAGGCAGTAGATCACGAGCTTCCCTTTGAATAATATTTTTTTCCGCGAGCACTTCCTGTGAAAAAATTGCAATATCGGCTTGCCAAGATCACAGTGCAAGGACAGAATGATTAAACTTAGAGGCAGTAGATCACGAGCTTCCCTTTGAATAATAAGCAGCTCATAATATTGCGCATCTACAGTCGCGCCAAAAGAGGTGCGATACCCGTGTGTTTCGTTATTTTCTCTCACTAATGTTATTAATTGTGTATTATTCTGTTTGCTTGTGGTGCCACAGATTCGTTCAGACCAGGACCAGGATATCTCCATCCGATACAGCATCACTGGGGTGGGAGCAGATCAGCCACCTAACGAGGTCTTCAACATCGAGCCTGTGCTTGGAAAGATGTTTGTCACCAAACCTCTGGATCGAGAACATCGGTCATCTTACCATGTGAGTCTATCGACACGCACGGGCACACAGCCTGACAGTCTGTCAAAATATTTGTCAGGATATGACCACTGCTAGATTGTGTTGTTATATAAAAGACGTCGCTAAATGTCGTTAACCACGACTGCATTTGTTTTTATGTGCCAGGGTTGATCGAAATTAACATTCTTACCTTCCTCGTCAATGTCCAACTTGCTCTCCCTCTCATCTGTCTCTTATATGTAAATCAAATCCAAATCATAGACGAGTTAAGACTGACCTATTTAATTAGAGATGAGCAGCCTTATTCCCCAAAAGAAACTCCAATCAATGAGCTAATTTGCCATGGCAACAGCTGCTGAATTCAACCCCCGATTGGTTGTTCAGAAAGCCGTTGTGAAATACATTGGCATGGTGAGACACGATAATAAGCTGTGTGCATTTTTCCTGTGTTGAAATCTTACAGTAGTTGCTGTAAGATTTACAAGGAGTTACACATGTTTAACATGATCCCAAAAAAATTAAAAATGATACGGATTGATTTCATTTTAAAATTGTACTTGTTGAACTAAATTCCACTTCAAAGACGGAAGGAAGCAAAATCCTTTTGTATTTTGTTGAAAAGCATTTTGAAACCATCAAACTTCACTTAACTGGTGAGAAAATTATTTCTCAAAAACAAATAAAGTATCTTTGTCCCTCTATCTATGCCAGCAACTTATAGTGACAGAGAGAACAAACAAATGATCTACTATTAGAGGGCAAAACGTATGAAATTGACAAATGTTATTCCTCTTTTTGTGACATATCTGTTTGGTGGAGTGCCGTGTGGGTTATTGAACTTAAAATATGTGCATTGGCTCAATAAAGGTTCAGAATCACTGCAGTTGAGGACACTGGCCGCTCTGCTTTTAATACTTATAATGTAAATCCAAAATTCCATTTTGCCTTTTTTAAACACAAGTGTAATCTCCAACACTCACTGCTATTGAATTAAGAGTGCGACCGCATGTGGGATGGTGGGAGGAGAGCGGGCTGAGATAAAGGACCTGGCTCTCGGCCGCTGAGATGGGATGGCAGTGCACGGATATTGGGTGCAGGACAGATCAGACAATGTAGTGGAAGAAGTAAAGTTAAATTAACCTCGAGGAGACCTGCAGATGCAATTTCAGTGGAGGTGGACAAAGGAAGCAAATGGTGACGAGGAGCGGATCGGCTCTCGTGGAGAAGATCTTCACCTCTCATAGTAGAAGAACCCTGCAAAGGATGTTGCTCATTCTATGTCCCGCTGCAATGGAGCCTGCAGGCGATTTCACTTATCTGTCTCTCATATCCTCATAGTAGCCAAAAAGCGTATTTCCCATCAACCAAGCTCAGATGAGAGAGTAACTCAATTCTCCTTACATGACAGCGCAATTAAATGTGATTTCGTCAATTTACTTGTTCTCCACCCCAATCCCCCCCCCCCACCCCACCCCACCCCACAGCCTTCGCCCGCGTCAAGGCTTTCATCCCCCGACTTTTACTTCCCTTTTGATCAGTATACCTTGGTTCACATGGGGGAGAACTCTCATATGCCACGATGGTTGTTTGCTCGACACTAATTTCTGGCATTTTTAAAAGAAGAGATAAGCCACTGTTTTATTCGGCAGAGGAAAAGGAAAGCGGCGTACGATATCAACTCAACATTGTTTCCAGCAGATTGGAATATCACTGAATAAGTCATGCTTGGAGATATAAACAATCCCAAGAACGGTGTAGGGAGTGAGTCCAGCTTTCGAAAGAAGGAAAGTCTCTTCAGTCTGTTAAGTAGACCTTCACCTATCATGTGGAGGAGGGGGATAATCCTCCAATCCCAATGTTCCCCTGATTATTCAGTTATCTTTTCACATTGTTATCCCTAACATTCATCTTTTTGACTCGACTTCATAGAAAGCAAAGCTGTCAAAAAAAGTATACCATGTTTTGATTCCTGGCGAAATCCCGTTCCACTGATCCGAGCACAGCTGAGGGGAATTTGTGATGAGCCAACTGTGTTTGTTATTCCGAGATGCAAGCAGGCAGAGCGCTGTTAGCCTTAAATGGAATCCAGACTCAGACTTACAGTTGCCCTGTAAAACAGACACAGCTTCCAGTCGAAGACATTGTCTCGTGTTATACTTTCTTGTGAGATAACAACTTTTAGAGATAAAGTCAGGAAACAGCACATTATCATACAGTCATACAGCGCATGTCCTCGCACGGCCATAATGTTGCCTGTGACCTAAGATTGTCCTCGACTTGTTTTTTGAAAACTTTTTTTTTTTTTTTGGTCTTCGGATGAACTCACACAATAAACGAACAACTTTTAATATGATAGGCCCATAGT